CCGGTCGGCTACTTGCCCCCTCCGGTGAGTACAAATATGAGCCCAGTTTGCCTGATCGAGTTGTTAGTTGCTTGCGTGACCCATCCCGCCCCTTTCCCTAACGACTTCACGCGATGTTGTGAACTCTACGGGAGAAGCGTCTTATTAATCTCGCTGGGGTTTGTTTTTTTTTTTGTTAGTTTGTTTTGCAGGATTAAGCACAGTTCTTTTCACACCCGTTTTGGTCGTGGAATTGGTGTTTGGGGTAAAGGTAAATTCATTAATGATCGCCACATTTACAGGTTTGTTTTTTTTTTGTTTCGTGTGTGTGTGTACTTTGATGTTCGTATCGTTTATTCCACGGTTTCACTTCAGTGACTCACGTGTGACAGTTGATCACGGGATGGAGGAGGTACCGTTAAAATAGCATGGTTCGTTGAGTTATTATCTGCGCCGAAAACAGCAAACTCAAAAGAAACACCGTTTCACCCCTAGCCCGACCGTTTCGCTCGGATACCGTCTCCATCCCTACCGATCGGCAGCGGGCAAAAATATAGTGTAAGAGCTGGTGTGCTATCGTAATGATGTGAGCCTTAGGATCCGTTAGAACGTTAATTAATACCTCAAAGTCGTCTCACGCTTCGTTGAATCTCGGCTAAGCGGGGTCATGTAAACAGCCTTTATATGCCCTATTGATTCCAAAAACGTGCATTTAGACGGTCCATATCGCCTCAAATTTGTCATACTTTATAGGACTAGTTGCATGCATACGGTTGTTTCGCTTAACGCACAGAACTTAACCTTGATAAAATGACCGGAGGGGGTGAATATACAAATCCAGATATTCATGTTCACATTCTCCTTGGAATTGCATGGAGCTATGTACTTTCTGTGGCTAGTTGTTTTAATGTTTATGATTACAACTCGTAAATACGTATACACGTACTCTGGCGAGCATACACCTCTCAAATTCGTTAACTACGATTTCGGTACAATTCCCCTCACGAAGGTAAAGTGTTGGGGCCAAACCAAGAAATAACATTTTATTACTGATCGTTTAATCACATGATTAAATCACATTCATTTTAATCACATTCGGAAACGACTGAATCGATGCGTTTGTTTCATTTTTAATTTTTCTGAATAATGTGTCCGCGAACTTTGTGCAATCTAACAATTTCGAACGCTCGTGGACGTGGCTATTAATGTTACTACCAAGGTATACTACATTTTGCAACAAATATAGATTGACTGGATGAATTTTGATTCAATATCTTCCGGTATCGTGTAGACAGTGCCTAAGTAACATGTATAATAATATATGCAAGATGATATATATAGTAGTTCTTCGCAATGGTATTCTGTATTAATTTCGTGAAAATCTTTCGAAAAATCTTTATTTCCGGACAAGGATTTTGAAACTGTGCGCTCTTAATCGCCAATAGAGCAAAGTTCAAATTTTACAAAGAGTTATCATGCAGAACGACCAAGCCACTATACGATTTGAATGAAAATAGGCCATATTTATCTGTTTTAAAACCCGAAATTCTATCTTCTGAGCCACTTTCTGAGCCATACTATAGGATCTAATATTCATTTAAGATCATAGCATCTTGTTGTATGTTAGAAAATCCAGCGTGAAACCAACTGTTCGACATCTACAACCAATTCCGACATATTGGAGTACATGCTTTGTTGTTGCGAGCTGAAAACCGCTTTTTACGCATTTACCAGAATCAGCGAATGCATAAAGAAAGTTGTCTTACCTTTAAGAGTAAAATGGGGATAAAAACTTTGAACAAATCCGTGTCTGATACACTTTCTCGTGACAATTACGACGTCGCTGTACTTGGAAGTTGTAAGAATAATTGTGCTTCTTGGTATAATATTTTGCATTTCCAATGATGCATACATAATGACGTAAGAAGCCGTGAAACCTGCAGGGAATTCTGGTCTTAGTATAGTCACGGCGGGAAATTTTAAAGTTTGAATTGTCTGTCATTGACATTGTTGGCATCTAATTCTCTGTCATTGACATTGTTGATATCTAAAATTCTTTGTCTGTCAGAAGATTCTTAGACAAGTATGAATCAGGCGTCAGCCTAGTTTATATATTTTCATAATTGTCCTGCATGAACATGTCAATGATGTCATTTTTTTGCATGATATAATCCGGAGAAACCTTAGTTTCGTTTTTTAAACCGGCACCTAAGTAGCAATATTCCATTACATCGGCCACCTTGACATTAGGGAGCTTTAGCAGTGACTACGAGTACGACTACGAGTACGAGATAAGAGAGATATATATTTCATTTATCAATTCCAGATACTAGGAAATTTACAATAATCAAACATGCATTAAAACTAAATATAACAGTTCTACATACTATTTACAAAAACAACTTAACTAGACTCCCTAATGTTCGAGTTCCATTCCGACAAAGTGATGTCATTAAGTGATGTGATGGACACAGTCCTCCAACTTCGACTGCCACGAACACACGCCACACGAGCTCTAAGCAAAGCAAAGGCGATCTTTCGACGTAACCAGCTAATCACCATAGATGAAGGCTGATTTTTCTTGTCAGCAAGCTTTGCACCCAGGAAGGAGAGAAAATGTTGAGTCTCTCTTCCGCATCCGCCAAAGGCGCTGAAGACGACCGGTGTGAAGGAGCCATGCTCGACTTCTACAATCCGTTGGTTGTAATGTCGCTTCTTTTCCCGTTCGTTGGCTTTAAACGAGCTGCTCAATGTCTGGCGTCGATGTGTAGAGGCGTATGGGTTAAACACCCTTACATCGAAAAATGCCTTTTCACATCTCTGCCAGAAACCTCTCGCAGCAATGTCCACTCTGGCGTCATCTGCTGAGTTAGCACTGGATTGAAGAACCTCGCCAGTCAAAGGAGCAAGGGCCGGTTCAATTGAAACATCGTAAGCAACGTCATCGATAGCAGCAGCAAGTAGATCACGGATCTCATCATGTCTTCGATGGATAAAGCCTCCTTTCAGGCACGACAGGGCATGATCCACCGTGAACGATTTTCCACAGGCGCAGAAAGATGGAAGGCGTTTCAAAGGCCATCGATAACGCATGTAGATTGCATCAAAGAACTCACGCTTGGTCAAAATGTAGCCCTCATCAGCAAGTGGCAGAGCTGTTAGCCAAGCTGAGGATCCTTTCAACTGGGCGAGATTATTTGCTCGAATCTGCTCTTCACTCATGCACGATCTCAAGTTCTGTAGCAGCAACGAGTTCCTAGCTTGACGTTGTTTTGCAATCTCATGACGAAGATCGTGGATGGAATCTCCATGTTCTGCTGATGGTACGACGAGTACGAGATTCGTCATTCTCACGCGTTGTTTGCTTACGCCATCAGCCAAAACTCGTAGTCACCGGGCTTTTGAGTACGAGTTTTTTGGCAAATTTCGTATTCAAAAGCTTGGCGACTACGAGTTTTGGCTGATCGCGTAAGCAAACAACACGCGAGAATGACGAATTTCGTACTCGTATTCGTACTCGTAGTCACTGCTAAAGCTCCCTAGTGATGAGATGTTTACGACAATGGCGACTAAATAGGGCCCAGGCCTGCTCTAACGCTATGCTGACCGCGCTAGAGACCAGGGATGACCACGTTTATAGCTGGGGAAGCGAGGCGTCAAAATATCGCATATTTCAGGCTTTCTAAAGCAGAGAAGATTAACCAAAGGCTCAAATTTAAGAAATACCGGTACATTTCAGTTTATTGCCTGTTTCGTGGACTGTAGTTTGAGTAATGGCCATTACGGGTTGCAAATCAGTTGTAATTTATATCGCTCTAGGTTGACGGCCATGGAATGATTGTATGTTGAAATAGCTTCCAATGACCGCAAAAAAGCTGCTGAATCGATCTGTTCTAAACGAGTTTGGAATTGCGACTTTCACGACAAACAAGGTTAGTACTTAGCGTAAGGCGTATGCTTGTATTTTGAATTGACCAACTTTTATAACACCTGCTATAATGTAGATACGCGTTTCAATGTATAAAATAACACTAGAGACAGTGCTGCATTTCAGACAAATATTATGGTAGAGCAGCATTTCATTGCTGATGTAAAAAAGGTTTCTTAGATATAACTATTGCCTAGCCTAAGATAAAGAACGGCAAGGAAATACGGAATCAATCCTAACACTGAAACCTAAAACTATTGAAATCACCTGTTGTTAGCAATTGAATGTCTTGTTCTCGAATTTTTCCCATGAGGATTAACGCAACTTATAATATGCTAAATACAATGAATTGCCAGAGAAGGAGGCACATGTTGACATGTTGAAGGTCATGGTGCTTCAGTTGTATATTCTTCTAATATATACTTCAGCACGAGGGAATGGCGAAAACACAACAAAAACCGCCAATAAACAAAGACGACATCAAAAAGTTGTATAAAACAATTATATTTCTTGACTTGACTTGACTTGTATGTTAGTAGCTGTGTCAGGATGGCCTTTTTTCATATTTTCTTAATCTAATTTCATGAACTCTTTGAAGTGACTCTCACATGAAATTTCTCATCTCCTTTTGTGTGTATGCACTGTCGTGTATTGTATTATTGTATTATAACTTTGTATTTTGGTGGACTTTTCTGTGAATATAAATATGAATAAATGAAATGATCTCCATAGGCGTCCATACCATTTGCCATTACCATTGCCATCTGCCATTACCATTGCCATCTGCCATTACCGAACTTGAAACGGAAATGCTTTTGTAATTAGTACCTAATCTAATTTTGACAATGTTTGTGGGAAGGACGAACGCAGACGAAATTGGTACAGTACTAATTTTAGCTGTATCGTGCGGATAAGATGAATGTCAAGTGAAATATAGAGTCGAGTCTTTAATCACTTCAGTTTTTTTAATAACATATATATATAAATTAGACGATTATATATATTTAAAGATTATATAAGATAGAATAATACAAATTTATGAACCGTTAGTGTAGCAATATCATATGAAGAGATGCATATATAGAGCGGAGAATATTATATTGTTGCGCGGAAATATGGAATTTATTTCGAGTGTTGAAGAGAATATTGCTCTTCAACTCGAGAAAGAAAGCCATATTTCCAAGCAGCCATGTAATATTCTCGGGGGTTTTTTATGCACAAATTATAGCAACAAATTCAAGAACTGGAACGTTTTACAACAGATTTTTTGATTGGTCAAACATATTTCCTACGAGGTTTTTGATTGGCTAGCGAAAAGGACATTTTACAGGTAAAAATATCGTATATATTTACGTGTGTTTTGTACACTGGTATTCATATAGCAAAATTATATACTAGATACTGGAAACTTTTATATTGCATATTTAATTACCCGATATAGATTATAAACGTTTGTTCAGGTTTGTTCTTTGTCCTGCACAGGTACATCTAAAGACATGCATTCAAGACCTCACAGCGCAGGACACTTACGACAGCCTTCTAAGAACTCCACGAAGTCACTAAAATAATTAAATGACAGGCACTAGGCAGATAAATGATATAATATGGACTAAGTAATCGAATATTCAGCTAAAATTTTCTAGAATGTTAATATTCTCTTCTCTACAGGTATTCGCTCCAAAATGGCGCCTTTATTTGTGTCTGTTCAGGACTCGCCCTAATTTTCAAAAGATCTTGCACATGAGAAATATCGAGGTAATATTCAGCCATCTCAGGATGATCTTCTCCGAATTGCTTTACTAGGATTGAAAGAGCTTCCTGTTTGGACTTTAATGCTGACTCGCAATCCGCCATTTCTTGTTGTACAATCCCGATTTGAAAATAACTATCAGCTGTGTCGGGATGAACTTCTCCAAGCAATTTCAATCTGATTTGAAGAGCTTTGTTGTGCGACTCTAATGCGGATTTGTAGTCTCCCATCTCACATTGTGTGGCTCCAATGTCGCCGTGAATACCAGCAGTGTCAGGATGATTTTCTCCATGTAAATTCAAACTGATTCTCAGTGCATGCCCAAGAGAAACTAATGCAGACTTGTAATCTTTCATCTCGCGTTGTGTGATTCCCAGGCTGCGATAACTAAAAGCAGTATCATCGTGGTATTCACCATGAAGTTTCAGTCGCGCTTGTACGACATCTTTGTGTAGCGTCAGTGCTTTATGGAGGTTCTTTGCAGAACGTTGTGTGATACCAATTGCCCGACACGTTTCTACAGTGTCAGGATGTTCCTTTCCATATAGTTTTGATTCAATTTCAAGAGTGTTTTGATACGATTCTAATGCTAACGTGTAATTCTTCATCCAGTCCTGTATTATCCCAATGCCGTAATAACTACTAGCTGTGTCGGGATGATCTTCTCCAAATAGTTTTTTTCTAATTGCACGAGCCTTTTGCTTCGATTTTAATGCCGATTTGTAGTCTTTAATCCAGGTTTCTGTGGTTCCAATGCTGTCATAACTATCAGCTGAATCTTGATGATCCTCACCAAATAATTTTAATCTAATTTCGAGAGCCTTTTGTTTCGATTCTAATGCCGACTTGTAGTCTTTCATCCAGGTTTCTGTGGTTCCAATGCTGTCATAACTATCAGCTGTATCTTGATGATCTTCTCCAAATAATTTTAATCTAATTTCTAGAGCTTTTTGTTTTGATTCCAAAGCTGACTTGTAGTCTTTCATCCAGGTTTTTGTGATTCCAATGTTGTCGTAACTGTCAGCTGTATCTTGATGATCTTCTCCAAATATTTTTAAGTTTATTTTAAGAGCTTTTTCAAAAGATTCTAATGCTAACTTGTAATCTTTCGTCTGCTGTTGTGCAACCCCAATGCTGTGATACGTTGATGCAGTGGATGCATTATTCTCCCCAAACAGTTTCAGTTCTATCTCAAGGGCATGTTGACATGTTGCTAATGCTGCCTTGTAATCTTTCATCGCAAGTTGTGTGATTCCAATGCAATAATAACTGTCGGCCGTATCAGGATGTTCCTCTCCATAATGCTTTAATCTAATTTCAAGAGCTTTCTGTTGCGACTCTAATCCTGACTTGTAATTTTTTATCTTATACTGTGTGATTCCGATGCTGTTATAACTGATAGCTGTGTCAGGATGATCTTCTCCGTTCAGTGTTAATCTAATGTCAAGGGCTTTTTGATGTGACTCTAATGCTGATTTGTATTCTCTCATCTCGATTTGTGTGAATCCAATGCTGGTATAACTTTGCGCAGTAGATGAGTGATTCAGTCCAAACAGTTTCAGTCTGATATCAAGGGCGCGTTGAAATGCTGTTATTGCTGATGTGTAATCTCCCAATTTGTGTTGTGCAACACCAATTTCATGATAACTATCTCCAGTTTTACTATAGTGTTCAACGTTGAGCTGTAATCTGATTTGTAAAGCATGTTGATGAGATTTTAATGACGATTTGTAATCATGTAGTTTTTCTTGGACGTAACCAATGTAGTAATAACTATCACCAGTGTCACTATGGTATTCCCCATGCAACTTTAATCTGATTTGTAAAGCACGCTTGTGTGACTCCAATGCTGACTCCCAATCTTTCAATTTAATTTGTTTGACTCCAATTTCGTGCAATTCCAATGCCAGTGCTGAATCCTGCTTGACCATTTGTGTATGTATTTCTCCCTACATAAATTTTCCAAGCAAGCCATTCGTGAATATTTTATATTTCAGATATGTAGGCAATCATCTTTTTGTTACGAAAGAAAGACGTTAAGAAGGAAGACGTTTCTATTGCAGAATTTATCCAACCAAAATTTGCTTACCTCGCTATCTTTATCACCACCCCTGACATCACCAATAAAAAGACTTTTGATGTCGTCACCAAAATTATTCTTAACCTGCGACCTGCGTGATATGAGTGTATTAAATTGAAAATATTAAAGTCGAGCTAAACGTTAACACTTACGTTATTTCTTAGCTTTATAACTTTTTACGTTCTCTATTATTAATTTTGTGTAAATTGAAGCATATTTAGTTTTTTAACAATAATACTGTTTGAAAATACAAACCCGCACATACAATGGGTGCTGATGTCACAAGTATTTTCGCTTGAATAGCGGTAAATGGGATTTAGGAGACATTGCTAATTTCGGCATAGTTGCAAATAACAGGGAAGACGTAAGGTCGACACAGGCCGTATGCGAAGCATTAACAGGACGCGATATAAATTAGCATATAAATTAAATTCTAGAAGCAAATTTGGAATCTATGGACGCCAGAGCTCTCAAAATGTATTATCGTCTCGTAATCTACGAGAATATTATGATAGTTTAAAATTTGTTTGCTTTTGGAAAATAAAAAACGTCGAAAATTCGCGCCGCGTTGCCAAATCGCGTTTTGTCTGTGTGGGACTTTAAACTGGAGACACGGATCGTAGGATATTTTCGAAATATTTTTGGCAGCTATATACCTACCTGTTTATTTTATAAGCCTCTTGTCCGTTGTCGTCTCCTCGGGAGGAAATGTTTGATTTCTCTGCCAAGACCAAACTTGTTTCCTTAAATAAAAAAAGAATGGAAAGGGTTAAATTCTTGTTGATACATGTTGAAGCCCGCCAAATCACATTTAGTTTCGCAGGTTGCGACATTGTACAGTTATACTTAAATACAGATAATTAGAATACAACCTCATGAAGTGTAAGGGGTCACAAGTGATATTAAGCGAAATGCCCGTACTATATGCATAAATTTTCCAAAACGCAATTCAAAATTAAGAATTCTATACAATCGGCCCATATTTGTAGGTGTGGTTAAATATGGAAATATATGATATGGATTCTTGCCTTCAGGAGGACATGTTAAACTAACTTGAATTTCATAAATTTTCGTGATACTTTGTAATGTAGGTCGTAATGGAACAGTTTATTGACGGTGTCAATTAATTGAGCGTGTTTCAGTTGAGCGAAGCTTGGTTGAGAAATAGGCTATACGACATCATTTCATTTTAATAACTGTACTCGTTATAAAGTTATTTGGAGTTAAACTGGAGTACTTTCTCTTGGCATTACCCGGTTGGCAATAGCTTAGTATTATTCAAGAAGTGTTTACTCTCAATGTGATCGGAAGTTGACACAAAAAAAACTTCCATTTGGAGAGTTTTGTTGGCAAAAAAAGTAGAGTGGGAAAAAGTTTACTTCAATGTTTTCATTATGATGATTATTCCATGATTTACCTTAATATTCTTCTCCAGGTTACTTTCCGTAATGTCCAAATTGCTGATTTTCTCACAAAGATGAGATCTGTATGAAACAAAAATTGATGTAAAGATGTTTTGAACTCTTAAACAGTGCAAACATTGACAGGAATCTTTTACTATATACCTCTTTTTTATAGCTTCTTTTGTTTGATTCACCTCCTCCATGTTTTCAATCTTCACCTTCATTCCTTCCACTTTAATTCCAACCAGCGAAAGTTCTTCCTGCAAGCGTTCCTTCATTCTTCCTGATTCGTAATCCGCCAAGACTTCAAGAAACCTTTCGTCTGTGAAACAATGTAACTCAACGTGCAAACTTCCTTTTCGAGTGTCGGTAATCTTCTGATCATCGCGTTTGCCACCCAGAGCTTTTTTAACTGCGGCGTCGACTAGTGGTCTCAATAAATTGTAACTAAAATACATAGCTCCAAGACCCAGGATTACTTTACCAGCAGTTTTGCACGCTTCTTGAGCAACTACTACATTGTCAGTGCTGATGGCGATCACAAGTTTCCTGCCAGTGACTGATGCAGTAGCTCGTAAAGCCTTTCCAGCTCCGGAAAATGCTCCCGCCATTCGGAAAGTGTTTGTTCTAGAAATATTACCAAATCAATAATTAAAAGAATAAATGAAAATACAAGGGCTAATGTTACGTTTTTCGCGATCGTATTTGGTATTTTTCTGCATGAGACATTAACTCTATTAACTATAACTATACAACATGAGCTTCTGCGATTCATATATAGTTTTCCATGCAAAATTTTTCGATAATCATTATTTTTTCCTGAGTTTCTATAAATATAATATCGCACGTAATAGAATTACGAGAGAGTTGAACCAATCAGAGAAATGCACCAAATCTAGGACACGTTACATATAGCCATAATTGCAATGGATTATATACCTGCATGGTTGCTGTGAACTTATTAACTTCAATTCGTAGTCTTAGATTATTTAGTTTTTGCCGTTTACAATTTATATCATATGCTTGATTTAGCCAAACGCGAAGAAGAATGATAAGACATTTAGAGGTGCTGTATTTTACACCAATTTTCTCTTAAGAGTTTTTAGGCTGATGAGGATATATGAAAAAAAAAGTTGATAAATATGTATATGAGTACAAATTAAGTACATAACGTGCGAAATACGAACACAACAGCTACTTACAATCCGTAATATATCTCATTGGGTATTACCCACATCTACTCAATGGACGACTTGCGCTTTAGACTAATTTCTTACCTCGGCGATAAAAAGGACATTTTTTCAAAGAGCTTACTAAAATAAGTAATACTGCCAAGTTTGACTGCGAATTGTTGTAAAATACGGAAAATGTACCCTTGCGAAGTTGTCGATTTTTGTATACTTATGTATTACGACAGGAAGTTTGTAACTAAATTAGTTATACACATTTCCGCACGTAATACATAGAGATTACTTCATGGTTAATGCGTGCGTACGATTTTTATTCACGAGTTGTGGAATATCCTAAAACGAACGAGCGAGGTACGAGCGAGTGAGTTTTAGCATATTCCACAACAAGTGAATAAAAATCGTACGCACGCATTAACCATGATGTAATTTGTTTATTTTATAAATATAGAGATTTCTTACTTGAAAAAAACTCGCAAAATAAAAATTTTGACTTGGAAGCCAATCTAGTGCATGCATGTCTCGATGAAATCAACAACACAAAATTAATCATTCAAAGTGAAATTCAAAATCACAAAATATTCTATAAATGACAAAGCCAAACTCAATTATTCTCAACAATACTATCAACATATAAAAGACTTTGAATTTGGTCCTGTAACAGCTAGTTAAATAAAGTTAATCTACTCATTGTCAGAGTCGCTGTCCAAAGGTTTCAGTCGCTTCCAAGTTTGTTTCTTCGCTGAATTTACTGAAAACGTCGGTGACTGGTTGAGAGTATTTATGTTTATGGAAAAATTGCCGCCTTGAATGACAGCTCCACTAAATAGATCCATACTTTGCTTTTGAGCAGATGAGGAGGACGAGCGAGCCGCTGTTTCAGTCAGCGAGGATGACGAGTTTCCTGCCGCCAAACCGCTCAATAACTTGGACATATGCATTTGTTGATTTGTCGACACAGTGCTGTAGTTTTCAATACTTTTCAAATTCTTATGGCCAGAAAGCTGGGCAATTTGTGTGGGTGGAACATCACTCTCACTGAGTCTTTGGACCATTGTTTTTCGGCCGCTGTGATTCCGTAGTCGGCTGTTCTCAATTCCTGCATTTGCAGCCATCCTCTTTACTAAACTATTAAGTTTGTTCACGCCTACGGCAACTGGTTTAAACCACGCTTTAGTTTCGGCGGAATCTGTAGCTTTAAAATTGTTAACTGACAAGTAAAAGGGGGCATCATCGTAATTCATTTCTCGAGGTCTTTTCTGTGAGAAAAATTTATAAACTGCAACAGGATCTTTTTCGCTTCCATCGGTTGCAAACATTTTCGGCGGAACTGTTCGAACATCACGGTAGTCTGAACCAGTCCTAGTTTTCGTTTGCCTTTCATTAAACTCGAGATATTCTTGTCCTTGGGCTGTTTTGTGAAGCTTCACATCTCCCCAGCACGTGTCACGATGTTCCTTGCAACCTCTGAGACCAAAATGAAGACAGTTGTTTAACCAGAGTGTGTTTAGCAATGCCTCAGGGCTTTCAATACCGAGTAGTTTCCTCTCGTATATTATTTGTATTTCCTCATTTGTCAACGCTACCGATGCGTTCGGCTTGTTTCCTTTTCCCTGTTTCTTTAGCATTTTTTGCTTAGACCTGAGGACTTTCATCGTTTGTTCGAATACCAAATCGTTTATGATGCTTGAAGGATAGCTTTTACTTTTTAAGTGCCGTTCAAAGCTCGCTACTAAACTTCGAAGCGACGTTGGCTCGAACTCCTTGCCGTCTTTCTTGCGAACTGACATAATAAACTCGGAAAGGTACTTGTTTAGTACCGTTGCTGGGATTTGTTCAATTTTTCGCTCTTCGCTTTTCGTTCTGAGGAAGCTTTCAAGTAAATGAACATCTCTTCGAGTTTTTTGCCAAGTACTTTTATTTTCTTGGTCTAAAATGAACTTTTCAGCAGAGCACGACTGTGAAACAAATCGCTTTTCGGCCATAATTTTTTGGCTTGTTGACAGAAAATAAGTGAGTTTTTCTTCACCAGTGAAATTTTATCGTTCGCGAATTCTATTGGACGAACGAAGTTTTTTCACGGTGAAGAAAATCGTTCGCGTTTCCTATTGGCCGAAATTTTAACAATACGATTTTTATTCACTGTTAATTCTGTGAAGAAATCTCTATATCTATATGATAAAAAAGTATACAAAATTTGCCAGCTTCGCATGGCTATATTTTCCGTATTTTACAAAATTTCGCAGCCAAACTTGGCAGTCTTAATTATTTAAATAAGATCTTTCTAGCTGGGGTGATTTATTTTCCTCTACTTACATCGATCAAAAGTTAGTCTAAAGCGCAAGTCGTCTACTGAAAACACAAAGTATTACCTGTGTCAGACTATAGGCCCACACAGACCAGACGCGATTTGGATACGCGGCGCGATTTTTCAAAGTTTTTGATTTTTCATAAGCAAATAAATTTTAAACTATCTGCATGATATTCATGAATATTGTCCAACGATAATACATTTTTACTCCTCTGCCGTTCAAAGTTTATTTTTATTTATTTACATGCTTTGTCAATCCTAACCGTTGATCCCTACAGAGCTTATTGCTCCATTAATAGGGTACCTAAAATTACATTATACACAAACAACGTTTACAAGATAATGGTTATTTCGCTGCCCCTATAGAAACAATCAGACATTGTACAAACTGTATTCGTCTCCTAAGACTATTACTAATTTTGAACAGTGGAGGCTAAGAAGCTCAATAGATTGATTAGAAATACTCTGAGGTCAGCGAATCAACTTTTACATCGCATTTTATCAACAAGTTTATAAACAATGGAAGACATGAATGACATTTAACACAGATAGTTTTAAGAGATTGCGAAACATCAATGTTGTATACGGGTTCAGTCATCTTATTGTAATAATCCAATAAGTGTGACTTAAATTGTCCAATGGTAACATCTGAGTTCTGTTGTAATAGCTATTTTGATATGTTGAGGTGTTTACTCTTGGTATGTTTATACTAACGCTATTCAATGCCTCGCTCCTTGTGACACGATTACTTGATTTAACTTTTAATTTCACATTTCTTTAAAGAAGTGCATTAAGTCCAGGCAAGTAACTAAAAGGGAATAGCCCTGCTCTTAACAGCCAATTTTTGTAGCTTGTTTTGGATCAAAACGGCAATGACAAGATGACTCTTGTTGCACGTCTTTGAACTTTTTCCATTTCAAGGATTAGAGAAACAGACTGTGGTGACCAGACTTGCAAGCTGTATGCGAATTGACTTCGTACCAAGGTCAGTCATGTTGTTGGACATGTTATACGAGGATCACTCTTGTTGTTATAGACATGTTATACGAGGATCAGTCTTGTTGTTATAGACATGTTATACGAGGATCAGTCTTGTTGTTATAGACATGTTATACGAGGATCAGTCTTGTTGTTATAGACATGTTATACGAGGATCAGTCTTGTTGTTATAGACATGTTATACGAGGATCAGTCTTGTTGTTACACATGTTATACGAGGATCAGTCTTGTTGTTAGACATGTTATACGAGGATCAGTCTTGTTGTTAGACATGTTATACGAGGATCAGTCTTGTTCTTAGACATGTTATACGAGGATCAGTCATGTTGTTAGACATGTTATACGAGGATCAGTCTTGTTGTTAGACATGTTATACGAGGATCAGTCTTGTTGTTATAGACATGTTATACGAGGATCAGTCTTGTTGTTATAGACAAGTTATACGAGGATCAGTCTTGTTGTTAGACATGTTATACGAGGATCAGTCTTGTTGTTATAGACATGTTATACGAGGATCAGTCTTGTTGTTATAGACATGTTATACGAGGATCAGTCTTGTTGTTAGACATGTTATACGAGGATCAGTCTTGTTGTTATAGACATGTTATACGAGGATCAGTCTTGTTGTTATAGACATGTTATACGAGGATCAGTCTTGTTGTTATAGACATGTTATACGAGGATCAGTCTTGTTGTTAGACATGTTATACGAGGATCAGTCTTGTTGTTATAGACATGTTATACGAGGATCAGTCTTGTTGTTACACATGTTATACGAGGATCAGTCTTGTTGTTATAGACATGTTATACGAGGATCAGTCTTGTTGTTAGACATGTTATACGAGGATCAGTCTTGTTGTTAGACATGTTATACGAGGATCAGTCTTGTTGTTATAGACATGTTATACGAGTATCAGTCTTGTTGTTATAGACATGTTATACGAGGATCAGTCTTGTTGTTATAGACATGTTATACGAGGATCAGTCTTGTTGTTATAGACATGTTATACGAGGATCAGTCTTGTTGTTATAGACATGTTATACGAGGATCAGTCTTGTTGTTAGACATGTTATACGAGGATCAGTCTTGTTGTTAGACATGTTATACGAGGATCAGTCTTGTTGTTATAGACATGTTATACGAGTATCAGTCTTGTTGTTATAGACATGTTATACGAGGATCAGTCTTGTTGTTATAGACATGTTATACGAGGATCAGTCTTGTTGTTAGACATGTTATACGAGGATCAGTCTTGTTGTTAGACATGTTATACGAGGATCAGTCTTGTTGTTAGACATGTTATACGAGGATCAGTCTTGTTGTTATAGACATGTTATACGAGTATCAGTCTTGTTGTTATAGACATGTTATACGAGGATCAGTCTTGTTGTTATAGACATGTTATACGAGGATCAGTCTTGTTGTTAGACATGTTATACGAGGATCAGTCTTGTTGTTATAGACATGTTATACGAGGATCAGTCTTGTTGTTAGACATGTTATACGAGGATCAGTCTTGTTGTTAGACATGTTATACGAGGATCAGTCTTGTTCTTAGACATGTTATACGAGGATCAGTCATGTTGTTAGACATGTTATACGAGGATCAGTCTTGTTGTTAGACATGTTATACGAGGATCAGTCTTGTTGTTATAGACATGTTATACGAGGATCAGTCTTGTTGTTATAGACAAGTTATACGAGGATCAGTCTTGTTGTTAGACATGTTATACGAGGATCAGTCTTGTTGTTAGAAGATCTTCTTACAAACCCCATCATACCTTTTGTATGTACAGCTGATACTTCCATTTGAAATCAGTGGTTTTACCACTGATTTTGTGTTCTCGGTCGCCGGAGACGATATAAAGCAAAACTTGGGATGGAAATCTCATTGTCCTGTATGTAGCTACTGAGCTGTTGAACAATGTTTCTCAAATACCTCGGTAGAATTCTTGGAGTTAATGAAACGAACTCGTTTTGCAAAAAAAAATTGACGTTAAAAGAAAACAGTGGATATTTTTCCGATTTATAAGTCCGAGATCTGAAAAAATATAGCTACCAAATAAAATAAATTAATAATCACTTGCTAATAATCGTCGCTTCGTAAGGGCAAACGAAGTTGTCGTGACAAGCGAATCTGGTACCGTGTGAATTAACGCTGTCATAGCGAAGTAATTAGTCTTTATATTTAACAGGACTAAGGAATTTTAGCCGGCATTTTGTCGTATGTTAGAAAATCCAGCGTGGAAATAACTGCTCTCCATCTACAACACCTGCCGCGACACATTGGAGTATATGCGTAATTGTTGCGAGCTGAAAAGCACTTTCTACGCATTTACCAGAATCAGGGAATGCATAAAGAAAGTTGTCTTACCTTAAGCAATAAAACGGGGATAAAAATTTGAACTAATCCGTGTCTGATACACTCTCTAGTGACGATTACGATTTACGACGTCGCTGAATTAGGAAGTTGCAAGAATAATTGTGCTCAACAATTGGTATACTGTATTTTATGAAAATCCTTTGAAAAAGTATTTATTTCCAGGCAAAGATTTTGAAACTGTGCGCTCTTAATCACCAATGAAGCAAAGTTCAAATTTACTCACTACCCAACAATTCACATGCATCCTTACAGAATTATCATGCAGAAACAGCAGAACGACCAAATATAAAGTAGCTATACGACTTGAATGAAAATTGCCCATATTTATACTAAGTAACTAAGCCATACTACAAAGTCTAATATTTAAGAGTTTAGGCTTTAGCCTTTGCGCGTAAGAAACCGTTGCATGACAGGTTATTAAACTATATAATTCACAACTATTCGTGCAAAACGTAACGTTAATTTTGCGTATACAGATTAATATTCTGAAAGTTTATCACTGTTAATTTGAATGCGACCAGAACAGGTCAAATTTTGAAGTGAAAAGAAGACAGTGGATATTTTTAAAGTCCGAGATCTGAAAAAATATTGCTGCCAAATCAAATAAATTAATAATCACTTGCTAATAATCGTCGCTTCGTAAGGACAAACGAAGCTGTCGTGAAAAACAAATCTGGCACCGGGTGAATTAACGCTGCTATAAGCGAAGTAATCAGTCTTTATATTTAACAGGACTAAGCAATTTTAGCATATTGTCGTATGTTAGAAAATCCAGCGTGAAAATAACTGCTCTACATCTACAACACCTGCCGCGACACACTGAAGTAGATGCGTAATTGTCGCGAGCTGAAAACCGTTTTTTACGCATTTACCAGAATCAGCGAATGAATAAAGAAAGTTGTCTTACCTCAAGCAATAAAATGGGGATAAAAATTTGAACTAATCCGTGTCTGATACATTTTCTAGTGACAATTACGACGTCGCTGCATTAGGAAGTTGCAAGAATAATTGTGCTTCTTAGTAATATTTTGCATTTCCAAGAATGCATGCATAATGACGTGAGAAGCCGTGAAATCTGCAGGGAATTCTGGTCTTAGTATAGTAACGGTGGGAAATTTTGAAGTTTTCGAAGTAAAATTTCGAAATTTTGAAGGAAATTTTTTTCCGGTGACTACTAAAACCAGAATTCATAGCAGTCGTCACGGCCTGATACGTCATTATGCATAAGGCTTTTGTCTTACGGTTGAAACAAAATTATCATCATATCGATTAAATTATATAAAGGGGAAAATATGTGCACTTTTCAACACCTGGTTCAACACCTGACACGCAAAAATGTGGTTTTATTCCCTCACTATTACAAAAAGCTTGCAAAGTAATATTGTAACATATATACCAGTGCCATGTCAACAAGCATACATTACTTTGAGGCA